CCTATCCTCTTACTAAAATAGCCCCTCCACTCCTTAATAATCGATAAATTGTATTTTTAGCCTTTTAAAAACTATAATAAAATTTATAAAAATTAAAAAAAAAAAAGACCATCTTCTTCATTTTTTCCTCACAACTTGCTCTCTTCTTCTACTCTTATTCTCTCTCAATTCCCTCTTGATTATTGAATTATTTATTGCTCTCAAGTTCTCAATTAATTAATATTTCACATTTTATTAATTATTTACGGTAGCCACTACAAAATTACAATTATCAACTGAAGTGTGGTTACCATTTTTGTTAGGTTCAAGTTAAATCATGCCTAGTGTTTCTAGAGTGCGCTCACATGTTTGTGAACACTTTGAGGTGGTAGAAGAAAATAAAGAAGTTCGCAAAGTAGGCATATCAAGGGTTACATTGAGCGTCCTCCAAGAATTCGTATTTATTTGATTTAAGACAATTTGTGTTATTTTGAATTTGTTAGACTTATTTAAGCTTAATGTGTTAGTTTATTAGACAAGTTAATTTGAAGTAGTATTATGCAATGAAAATATAAAATGGAAGCCATTGAAGTTTGATCCTTACATATTGATCTTATTAAATAATTTTATGTAGCCACTTAATTTCAATTTTCAAATTCAAATTTAAAACTTTAAGCTTTAAAGTTTAAAAGTTTAATTTTATGTCATAAAATACTTATTTTATTATTTAAAAGTTTGCAAATACTGAAATATCAATTACATTAATAAGGAAACGTAATACACTAAATAATAATAATAATAATAATAATAATAATAATAATAAACCCGGCCCGGTCCGGACCCGATAAGCCCGAACCCAGACGGGCCCAACAAAACCCGTAGTATCCCAGCCTACTACCAGCCCGGAACCCCAGCCCACTTACCAGCTCGCTCCACTAATCGGACGGATTATTTTTTTTCATGTCGTCTAACCCGTCCAATAAACACCCTTACTTCAAACTCATGTCTGAATTTAATTCAGACTTCATTAAACTTCAAACCTTAGGTCTAAAGTTTGTAGATCCGCATGTCTGAAATTGATTATGAGACGGCTAAACTTAAAAAGCTTTGTAAATTTGGACTATTCTTTAAATAGGAATCTTAAAACGGCTATTTCTGAACTTTGCTTCAACAAAACATCATATTCGTATTACTTATTAATATTGCAGTGGCCACAATCTGACTTACGTCAGATCCACCAATTTTCCAATACGGAGTCCAGTTCCGATAAGCCAATTAATTGTAGCAGGGCCGCACCACTGTAATACTCGAAGCTCGGGAACGCACTGTTGAATAAAGCATTTTATTGCTTTCTAATTAATTTGTTCATTATATCTTGTCTTTACTTAATTCATATATTCTTGCTTTAATCTCATTTTAAACACTATTAGAGCCCAAACACTATCGAAAACCCCTGCTAAATTAGAGAACCATGGAGAATCTGATGCTATTAATTAGAGTGAGTTTAAACTTGCTTTTCTTTAACTTAGTCAGCAGCGATAACTTGTCTTTCCAGTTTCAAAAGGGTAAAAGCTTATTTGCATTTGGTATTTATACTATACTATACTAATTTACTATGGTTTGTTTATAAGTTTAGGTGAGTCAATTGCGTGTTAATTCAAATAGTTTTGTGATAAAAGCGTATGTATCCACATGTGTCATCTATTCATTTGGTTGGTGTAAACACTAGGTGGGGGTAAGTTAATATTGTTATCAAAATCTTGTTATCTTAGCGAAGTTCTATGTATGGATTAACCTGCTCAAATACCAGATCGAACCGAAAGACTTAGTTAATTAAATCTCTGTCCCTTTAGAAATTTTGGATAAATGGACAGATGTGGCACATCCAAACATGCACATGACAAAATAGAGAGGACTTGGATATAATCCTTGTCTGCTACTACTTAATTAGTAAGTCGCTTTTAGAAAAAGAACAGTGAATATGTTTAAAAGTAGACAAATATCTTGCCAGTTTAGAAATTCTTAGAAATTAGCTGCCTTTCTTTTCTAAACTGAACATTTATAATTAACTAACACTAATATTATATGTGAGTAATACGTAGTATAGTAGAAGATATCTGGATTAAAGAGAGCAGATATTTTGTTTGAGATATTTTGAAAGAATCTCATCTCATCCTAAGCACAAAAGTATATGTCACGTAGTTGGTTAGTTTTTGTGACTGCATCAGATTCTAAGGGGAAAAAGATAAAGAACCAATAAATAAGTAGCAGTACATTCTTGTCAAGATATTCACTTCAAAATTAGACGGTCAGATTTGGACACACAACCATATTGGATGGCTTGATTGATGACATAGGAAAATAAGCTGCTGAAATAAAGTTTGTACATATATAGAGGAAGTGCCTATTTTAGGAAGCACTGAAATTAGCTATAAAGGAGAAAAAGAAAAGATCTTGCGTTGAAAACAACGAATATGCCTAAAAGAGACCTACAAAAGCAAGCACTTTCGATCTTATTAGTGGCAGAGTCAGGATTATCAACCGACGAGAGTCAAAACATATACATAAGAAATAGACATACAAAAAAGACAACGAGAGTATAAAATTCTGGCAAAGGGGTGTCAATCAACACTCCTCGGCAAAGAGTGGCTCCGTCACTAGTTTCAGAGAATGACAAGGCCAAGACGATAATGAATATGCAAGAATAAAGAGTATTCGTTTTGTGTACGATAATAAATTACATGTTCATGATCATGAGGAACTCTAATTTTTAAAAGTAATTATAATATGGTATCCTAAAAAAGATTTATTACACTATCAACTCAAATCGGGAAATTTTACGTTTATCACACTTATTCCGAGGGGGAAGTTAGCAATTCATTCGATCTCTATTGATCTCCGGATTGACTTTAAAGGATTATCTTATAGATCTGGCGTGTATATATCTTAAACCCAAAGATAAAAGATCACCTATTTTATGTAAAGGCACCCAAAAGAAATATTCTTAATAGGAAAGTGATGTAGTTATCTTGGAGCTTTTTTGCCACTGGAAAGCTTTAGAAGGCTACACAGCTTAGTGAACCAAAAAGAATATAGGAGTCAGAGCTAAGAAAAGATGCTTATTATAGGAGTATTTATTTAATAAGAGAAAGCAATAGATTATATATGATCTGCAGTTAAATTGTCTTAAGATTAATGCAATTTGTTTGCAAAAATATATGAATCCAAATAAAGATAATATCGTGATAATGTAATTTGTGTTCTTACAGATATGAAGTATGCTCTATTGGTCAAAATAACATCAAAAGGAAGAAATTAATAAAAACTGAAAAGAAAAGGAGTTTCAATGCATGGTGATGGTATGGGGAGTTTTGTCTTTAATATATTACCTGTATACTTGAATCAAGAAGTGCGGGTCAATTTGAACTAAATAATATATGTTATAACCTAACTCGGACAATTTTTTTATTATATATATAATCTGTATAATCTATATATACCATTACGAAAAGTAAAGGTAAATATAACTAGCTATTTGTGTAAAGATCGCCTACATATAGTTGATTCTATTTACCCTACTTTTCGTAACCGGTATATAAATAGATTATATACCGAATATATACATATTATGTATGAATTATACATATTTTATATATTCAACCGGTTGTTTTTAGTTTAAACAGTTGCAGGGAATATATATATATATATATATATATGCACAACCAAATCCACTCAAACTTAGGCGGGTTGGATGTGTTATATTCTAATAGGCTGAATTTGACATCCCTGATCGTCGAAAAAAATATCGCAAATGATAACATAACATTGATTAGATCCATAGATACCAGTACTATAATTCTTTTGTTTTGTGTTACCTAGCAAAAATAATGGGGGAATATCTATCTCTTTCAATTGCAGGTTGCATGCACTTGCAGTCCCGTCATCTTTTTGTAGCAAAGATAAAATAGAAATTTTGGATACTTTAGTGCCAAATATAGTAACTACACTACACTACACTGCTTATAGTAATTTTCTCAACTCAAAAACTTAATTAGTATGATTTGACTTACCATCCAATTAGGTTTTGGTGAGTCGTATAGGATCCCTTCACTCTTAAGAGAGGTCTCGGGTTCGAATTCTTGGAATGAAAAAAAGTTTCGGTAGAGAGCGCTTCCCCCCTTAGTAGGTCTACGCACTATGAATTCGGATTAGCTTGGCCCTAATGCAGTTGCCGTACACTAGGCGGGAACAAAAGAAGTATGAATTTGACTAATTACACTATTAGTGTATTTTAACTTGTTGCAGTTGGTAATAATTGTCTTGTTTCTCAGGCTACTAATCTCTTTTCTTGGACTTTAGTGTAATTATCTTTAAGGTGACCTAACATTGTAAAATTTACTAGATAGAAGTTAAACACAATTAGTATTAGCAGCTGAACAACTACTTACATTTTCTGAGCCGAGGTTCTATTGGAAATTGCCTGTATCTTCGCAAGGTAAAGATAAGGTCTACGTACACATTCTATCCTCCTCAGACCCCACTATAAGTGAAATTATACTGGGTATATTGTTGTTGTTAGCAGAACAGCTACTTACAGAGCGGCAGGACCACAAATGGGGAGTCATCTGATTCCAGAATTGCTATTATAAGAAGAGTGCTTGGATAGAAAAACTAGAGCAAAGAGATGATGAGGTTGGTGAGCTAGGATATTTCTATGGAGCAGCACTCCGTATAACGAGGTGCATTAAGGCTAGTATGCAGTTTGTATTGCTCAAACGTCTCTTATTTTTCTTTAACAATTTCTGGTTTTAGTTGATTTTGTTTATATAATATAATTATCCGCATTGCAACTAAAGGTGAGTACTCAAATTTTAATGGGTTCAGAATGTCTCTAGATACTTATTAATATTTTTTTTGTACATGTATATAGGATCAATCAAGTCATAAGCAATGGTTTCAGTTGAACTCGTAGAATCAGTATATATCCGCCTCTGATTGCAACTACGCACAATCGGGAGAATATGGAGGGAAGTAGCAAGGAGCAAAAGGGTGAAGAAACATCTGAAAAAGCCGTCGTCCCAAGCCATGATCTGAACAGAAAACCAAGGTTTAGGTGGACAATGGAGGTCCATGATCACTTTGTTGAAGCAGTGAATGAATTAGGAGGTCCATTTGGTCTGTCTTACTTTATATATTACGCGATGAATATGATATATTTGGTATGTATATTACAATAGGAATAAACATACATGTTTTAAAATTTTTGAATGAGCAGAAGCAACTCCGAAGAATATAATGAAACTCATGGATAATGAAGATATCACTTCAGGCCATATCAAAAGCCATCTCCAGGTACTTTGAGACTCGAACTCAGGGTTTCTGCCTGCGCTCTGATACCATATTATTGAAGTGTGTGATCATCTCATCTAAAAGTTTAAGCTGTTAGCGAGAGCACATTTTTATTTACTTAATAATGTCTTCAACGGCAAGTTTATTCAAGTTTCAAGTACTCTTGCATTTTTTGTTATGATGAAGTAATTTAACACTTAACTAATATTTGAGTTCATGCTGTTTTCAGAAGTACAGACGGCGTAAAGACATCATCAACACCCCTAAAACTAGTAAAGGCAAGTTTTTCATAACTTATAGTATAACTATATATGGACATTACTGAATTCTTTAGGTACATATATATAAAAAGGTACAATTAATTTTTAGAGGTTCTGTCCTCCTTGTTTCTCTTGGAATTTTGAGCAGTTAAGAGAAGTGAAAAGAATGAAGCTGCGGTAGATATGCTGCATGATAAAGGGTAAGTGGACAGCATGAGTTTATTAAATCTCTGTTTATTGTCTTGAATTAATTAATGGCAATTCTAAAATGTTATTTAACAAACTATGGAGAGAAATGCAGATCCGCGAAGCACTAAACGCGGAGATTGATATGCAAGAAATATATATGTCACCTACGGTCTGTACAATCTGTTGCACTAACAACATAAAGATATATATATTTACAACATCAGTGTCATTTTTTATTCTTAATTACCTTTTTGACACAATTGGGGCCTATAATAACAGGTGACAAAAGAGGCAGAACAAAAGGAGAATGTAGAAGCTGAAGAAATTGCAAGACAGGAAATGCAAGCTGATGCAGCAGCAAGGATTGAGCTTCAAATGAAAGAAGGAAAAGAACATTTGGACTTGAATTTTCCAGCAGCAGCTCCAGATCAAGATTCTAGAAACAGAGAACCAAAATCAAGTGGATCTAAGAATGCCTAAAGTTTAAAAATTGTAGGTTACCTCGCAAATTACAAAAGTAAAAACTTTTTGTAAAATAAATTAATTTCAAGAAAAGTGAAAGAAATGATTTAATGTAATATATCTAACGATAATAATCCTCTCTGCAATATTCACGAAGTAGTGAAACACACTACAAAAATCGTTGTTTACGGTAAATCTTGCAGACGTTTCTGTGCTTAGTAATAAAAACTAGTAGAATGTATTATTCAGATATTTGAAGAAGCATATATGGGATGTACATTTTCTTAAAATATTGTGCTCTAAGGGGCCGGAGAAAAATAATACATGTATTAGCTTTGTATTACTTAATTCCTTGTTTGGTTGTGTTTTTTTAATGTATGTATAAGTAATACATGTATTAGTTATACACCCTATTTGGTATTATCCTATGTATAATTACTAATACATAGCAAACTATGGTTTTAGTAATACTAAGGTTTTTAATACATGGATAAGCATGTATACACCCCAATGCAATGCATATTATTTTTAATACACCAAACCAAACAGTGGATAAGAAATAATATCAGCATAACTAATCCTAGCATAATTAATCTCAGCATTACTAATCCCAACATTACTAGTACTATCCTTATACATCCTATCAAACGACTCCTAGGTGGCATAGTTTAGTTTCGCGCATTTTATTTTGGGCGACAATAATTTCCAATACTCTATTTATTATACCTTACAAATTATTAAAATGATTATCTAATAGCCAAAACACTTGCAAATTTAAATTTGTTTAATTGTTTTAATTATAAAAAATAATTTAACTTGGAACGATACAAAGAAGATCACGTACAAATTGAGAATGTTTACCCTTAAAATGGATAACAATTGAATTTATACGCGATTTTAAAGATATGTGGAATGATTCAACACAAATGACCAAGAATGTTGGATAGATGAGTTAAAGACACAATGAACAATCAAACCAGTCGTCACGTAATAGCCTAGCTTGAACTTGGACTGGGCAATGATTTCTGCCCTCGGTCGGGTCTTGGGTTCGAAGCCAATCAAGAACAAAGAATAAAAGTAAAGTAAAGACTTTGCAATAGCTAGAAAGCAGAGAAATAACTTTGTATTTCCTTGGTATGCATGTTACAATGTGTCTCATTGACATAAAAGATTTCCCTTTATATAGTAGGAGAGTTTTACCCCTAGTACAAGTCTATAAAAGGTACAAATCTTCCTTTCTCGTTAATCACGGATCCGTTATCGATATCGAGCGAGATCTGCGCCTTGATATCCGATCGGAAGCGGATATCACGGCCCTCCGTTAGCCGTATGCAACCGGTTATGCACTTCCCTAAGTTTCTGAACCCCTCTCGGGTCCGGGGTGCGTCGTTTTATCGGGTCCGATGGCAAGCATATTGTTCAAGCCTTAGTACAAGAAGTTCTTAACTTCGATTCCGATCTCGTATAATCATATCCTTGCTTCGTTTGACCCTCCGGGAAATCAGGGTATATATGTGTTACCCCCGGTTTCACCCGTATACAGATAGTCCCCTCGTTTCCTAGAGAGTAGGTTTGCCGAAACGATGGGAAAGGATAGATGAACCTTGGTTCCTTCCTTCGCATGTTACAACCGAGATGACAGATAAGCTGAAACGTCCCATCAGTCGCGTTGTTCTAACTTCGGACACGTGTCGTTCATCGGCCGGTCTCCTTCGAATGAGAAACATTGCTTATTTCCCCCTATTAAAAGTTTGCCCCCCCTTCACTTCTTTCACTTTCTGATCATAGCTCTTATCTTCGAACTCTACGAAGGCTTTCAGCTTTCTCAAATTTTCATGCTTCGCTTCTTGAACCTTCACATCTTCATCTTCAACCTCCAAACTTTCATATATTTTCTTGGATTTTTAACCCAGAAATTCATATCTTCTCTTCTAACCTTCAAATCTTTATACGACTTCTTCAAACCTTCATACATTTCCACATTCACAATGGCCAAAACCTCAAAATCAGTACCACAGTAAGCGGCCCCTTCATCTTCTCACCCGGCCGCAGATATCGAGGTAAATGCTCCCGAGGTGCTCCCCGAGCCTCGTATGAAAAGCTTCATACCTGGGGGTTGTTCCATCGGGGATGACTTCAAGGTCGAGAAGACCTCCATCAAACAAGACCGAGGCGGAGGAGCATAAAGATATATATGCTCTGTTACTGAAGATACCCTTCCTATAGTCCGAGAGGACTGTAGACGGGAAGGCAAGGACGTGGTTGTCCCCGGACCTGAATACGATATTACTACCCATGTGGAGTGGTATTTAAGCGTTTACACTTATCTCTTTATGTTGGGCCCGGTTGACCTGGTAATCCTGGCCTTTTGCAGGAGGTACGAAGTGTACCTCGGGCAAATCCACCCGTCCCTCTGGAGGATCATGATCATGTTACATTATTTTGTGAATAACACCGAATCTCCTTGGTTCACCCTTGACCACTTACTCTGTCAGTACCGTCCCTGAATTTTCCGAGGGACAATAATCAAGCTCGTTCGCCGAGCCAGTGAGGCCCCTTTTTCGAGCATCAACGAGGATCGAGTCCGAGGCTGGCAGGGGCATTTTGTTCGGGTGAAAAATGAAGACTTGATCCCTCCCGAGTTCCTGCCATTCCCCGTGAAGTGGAACGCATCTCGTAAGTCTAGTATTTGCTTAAGTGTCAATTTTCCTTCATTTTTTCTCTCATCGCCATTATTTATGGTCATGTAGTTGTTGCTCGGGTTCCTAATGCTGTCCTTCAGCTCAAGGAGTGGATCGAAGGGATCTGCCAGCAGATGTCATACTACGAGCGCACGTGGCGCAAACTTTCGAAGGGAAAATAGGAGGCCTGTTCTCATGGTAAGGCTTTACCCTGAATAGTTATTACTATGCCCCAAGCATACATGGTGTTGACCTTCTCTTTTCCCTCGTAGGTTTGCCTAAGACCACCGAACTTAGGCCGCTGGATGGTGGCGAGGACACGTCCTTACCCATCGAACCCTCAATTTTGGGACAACCCCAGGCTGCTGCGGAGGAGGAAAAGAGGAAAAGGAAGTCCTCAGGTTCCTAGGATCCCGAGGTGAAGATAAAAAAGAGGGCGGCCACCCGGGCTCGCAAGCCCAAGAAGAATACTGAGTCCCCGGTACCCGACTCTGATATGCTTTACCGGCTCAGGGATGAGCCTGAAGAAGACGACATATTTGTCGCTCATGGATCGACCCCTGCCGGGGAGCAGGTGGCGACCGAGAAATGGGGCCACCAGATGGATCCCCTTCTGACCCGAGAGGACGAAGTGGAGATGGGGTCTGTGACCTCCAGAGAAACCGTTCCTATTCCAAAGGAGGCAATTGGTGTGATAGACATCATCGAGACACCCTTCTATACCGAGTCAATGCTCGAAAAGCCCAAGCGGACAAAGAAAAATCAAGTGAAGGAGCTCAGGTGCAGAGGATCATCTCCACTCCTTTGATGGCATGGATATGTCTACACCGGAAGATTTCTCTAGGCTGGGCCACCTGGAGATACCAAAGAAGGACGTGCCTTCGGGAGCTGACGGGCCGAGTACGAGCCCAAGATTGGTGAAGCAATTCCCTGCGTCGAGTGTGGACCCCGAGCACTAGAGGACGGTTGTTCTCACAATCCCACATGATGCCAGGGTCCTGTCCACTCCGGTAGGCATAGCCGACTACCTCCGATGCCTGGTGACCGAGCAGGACCAGACAAAGATGAATGAGGTGGGCACGTCAAGTCTATTCAACAAGGCACAACAGACGTTGAACCAGGTAAGGCTCTAACACTTTCAAACTCCCCTTACGAATCATTTAATTTTTCCTTTGATGTCTCTTACTTAATTACATTGATTTATAGGCTTCACTGCTTTACCACGAGAGTTTCCTACGGTACCGTTTGGAAACTAGCCAGCTCGAGTTCGAGATCAAGGAGCAGGTCCGAAAAACAGACATGTACATGCTTCTGAATGAGCAACAGGACGAGGCCCTTAAGGACCTCCTGATTCTGCAGGCCGAGCTGGAAAAAAACTCGGAAGGAAGCCTTGACCCTGAAATAGGAACACGCTGACCTGGTTGAAAAGGTAAAGATCTTTGAAGATAAGAACAAACAGTTAGTCGCGATGACTAACAACACAACTTCACAGGTTTAACAGAAGATGGATCTGATCGACTAGCTGCGGGTCGAGATGGACGAGGTCAAGGCCCAGGTCGAAGTGTGGAAGCGCAGGATGGAACGACTGGCCCCGTAGAAGGAAGTTGCGAAGGCGGAGCTGGCTTCGATTGAGAACCAACTCCGGGTGGCAAAAGACAATTCAATGCTCAAGTCAAAGGGGGGAGTCTAGCTGAATGACAGTCTTCGAGCACAACTGAGCTCGGGTGTCGCAGAGCGGGATGCCCTCGGTAGAGAATATGAGGATCTAAAGTCCAAGTTGGACATAACCTCCACTGATGCCGAAGAAATGGTGGCCCAGTGCAAGGCCGATGTGGAGGCAACCGCGATCTGCCTAAAGACAAAGGCTGAATACATGAAGCGGTTATCCCGAAGGGAGACCCTCGAAGAGATCCATGCCTGAGGCTTCGAATTATCGGCCGAGACCGAGGAAGCAAAGAAGCTCGAAGCCAAGGCAAAGAAGCTTTACGAGCCTGAGGGCGTCAAAGGATCTGAGAGCTTCGACAGTTCTGGCGACAAGTCGGGCCCCGACGAAGACCAGGCGTAGATACCTCAGTACCTTTTTTGCTTTTGCTTATGCATATTTTTCTTTCTGTTTGTTTTGAGGCCGTTTCTATTGGGCCTTTGTAAATATATTTCGAAATATATGTGAAATTTTCCCTTTTTGGCAATATTGTGTCTTTACTGTTCCAGCATATTTTGATAATTTCTATCTATGTAGTGTTTTTGATGCCTTAGCATAGAATCAAATATAGTTATAGGGCATTCATTTTTCGGGGCTCCTAATAGAGCCCGACTTCGATACAACTTTGTTTGCTC